GTGACATTTCGGGATGCAATATGCTTTAATGAGTCTTCCTGTGTGGGTGAATTTTTCTATAACATAGATGTGGTGCTGCATGCGTGTGTCATACCGAGTCAATAATTCCTCTGAGGGCTTGGAAGCCTCCCGTTACTGGAAACACATGTTCCATGGTATCTGCAATAGTTGCAAGCTGCAAAAATATAGAAACAGGAAGCAAAACTGAGTAGATGCTTTAACACATTTGCGACATTTTATTTCTATGTGCGTCTTACCTGGGTCTGGTTGAAGTCTTTGACTCCTACACAATAAACAATGGCTCCCAAAGACCTGGCTCTTTGTGCCTGCAAGGGTTGGTCGAACATTTGGTAAGATTTTAGTGTCTCTGCTTTTCTGCTCATCTAAAATGGCCTTAGAGATGTTAATATGTGAGCAAAATGAACTTTTAGGCTATTTCTCAAAGCTTTATTCAAGTCTCTCATAATAAAGATGACTTACTGACACTTTGAGCTGTTTTTGTGTCATTTTGTTCTGATACAAAACAACAAATAATTAAATCCTAACCACTACATTTCCTTTTAATTTTGAACAGTCCATGATTTATTGTCATACAATTAAATGCTGAATATCCATTTTGTCATAATTCTTCAAGCGAAACAATTATTCTGCCAGTCTTTTCAAGAGTGACGTATAAACAAATTCACCCACTGTGGGAGCTGAGTGTTTTTCAGCATAAATCCAAGTCATCACAACCTTCACTGTTCTGTTCCTGAGGCTCAGGTCTCGTTTTCTGGATGCTCAACAGCTTTGTTCCTTGCTTTTTCCTTCCCCAAACTTCCCTTAAAAATTGATTTAGAGCCATAATATGGAATTTTAGTAATTTCTTTAGTTTGTCATTAGTGGTTAGTAGATGTTGATTTTATGTAATTTTCTCTAGCTGCCTCTGTCAGATCAGGTCATAAATGAAATACTTCATTTCAGCCACTTCCACTCCCAGCAAGTAAGGAAGCAACATTTAAATTGGAATTTCCTAAGTTTAAGCCACAAATTCAATCGATCAAAAGTTTTCTAGAGCAAAACTGATTTCAACTAGAGTGGTAATAATCCACAACAAGGCCGCATGCCATAGCGCATTTCTTCCCGCATTAAAACGCATTAACACACATTAACACACATTACCTCACGCTGTGCTGTGTCGTACTGCCTTTCCTTCAGTTCCCCATCTGTCAGAGCGATGATAACACTGGCAGTCCCTACAGAAAACATGGAGCATATATGTTTGTTTTTGCTATTATATTTAATTGTGGTTAAAAAAAAACAAACAAAAAACATTTCAGATGGAGCTTACCTCGGTTCTCATGGTAAATCTGTGCATTAGCCTGTAATAGCAAAAAAACAGGTATCAGTCAATATTCCATTAAAATGGTTTCACACAGTAAAATAGTCACATATTATTATTTCTGCTAATCCCAGGAGATGCAAGTTAGATCATGACATTCAATTAGAGATTAATAGAAAAGAATTTAATGCGCACATAAATGTGTGCCAGTTTTTCTTGTGTAAAATTAACAATGAGTGACTGGAGGAAATATTATTATTTTAGCATAAAGGCGTTAAAAGTTTAACAGGAGAAAAAAACATATTGTGAGGAAAAAATCATGCTAGTCAAGGTAACTGTCTATATAACAATAATTAAAAAAAAAACTTTAAAAAAATGTATAGTTCCCAATTGTGAATTCTAGCATAATAATTATGACTGCAGACATAAACCTGCACACCTAAGTGTTCAAACCACAGGGAGTTAACCTCTGCCTGCAAACCGTCCAACTTGTTTTGTTTTGAGATTTTTCCGAACTTTGCTTTATGATGTCATCATTTAACATTTTCGCTTACATGCTCAACTGTCCTAAGTGAAAAAAAGTAACTGTCACTACCAATTACTATAAAGTGAGCTGTAAAAGAAGGGGTTGTTAAAAAGACAGGCGGTAAAATGGAGTGCTTTGGGCACACATACACAGGCAAAACAGCAGTTTGCAATTTTTTTTCAGATTCAGGCAATTCAGCTAAACCTTTGTTTAACTGAATAATATAAATCATTGCGCCACAGGGGAGGCATTTAGTACACAAAAACAGAATTAGTCATACCATCTCCAGGCCGAGGTTCATGCATGTGTCTCCTCCAGGAATAACATCGTTCAGAGCCCTCAAGCCTTCGGTTATGGCCTCCCTGAGGAGTAAAACACAAACATCCAGATTAAAAACACCCTAAACAAACTGAGGGGGGAGTTCTTATTAAAATAAATAGAACAGAGTAGGTAGAGTCAACAGAATGTTTTTGAGTCAGGTAGAACCTAGTGTTTGGATGGATGGATGGATGGATGGACGGATGGATGGCCGGGCGGATGGGCAGACGGACGGACAGATGGACGGACAAAACACTGAGTGTGTTACCTGTTCTCGGTCAGCTCCATGATGATTTTTCCTTGTGTGGAAAAGACGATGAAGGACATCCTCAGCATGGGGCTGCAGGCACAAAGTTGTTCCACTTCAGCTTTCAGTAAAAACAATAACAAAACATCCAACAACTTATATGCGTCGTCGTCCATTTTACCTGATAAACTTCTCTGCTAGGTGCTTCACAAAGGAGTAAATCTCGTTCCAGTGATGCTTCACGCTGCCAGATCTGAAAATCAGCATTTTTCCCAGTTAAAAAAAACAAACTCTGAATCCATGTATACATAGCAGTGTTAATATTGTCCTTAGAAAACACGCAGATGCATCCCACATGCTTCAGAATAAAAGTCACCCCTCTCTCTGCCGAGGTCAACCCTCTGATGATTTAGTAACATTCCTTTAGTTTGGACTGCAACCCGTCATCTGTGAGCTGCTGGTTAGTCTGCTGCATGATGCCATAAACGGAACCGTCTCTTTTAAGCCCGTCTCACAGTGCTGCTAATGGGAGCTAATTGCTGCTGGGCCACAGGGTTGAGGTTAGACAGGGACAGATGCAGCAGTCTGCCTCTAAACAGGGACCGCGTAGCAAGCAGCTGGCCTCTGTTCGTGTTCGAGTGACAGTGTGTGTGCGTGTGTGTGTGACTGTGAGGGGGAACAGATGGTCCCACTATGCACGGCCAGCCCAACAACAGGTTGGTCCGTCCGCTAGAGTAAAAAAGGCTTTGACATGAACAACAGAGGGAACCATAACTAACACTCAGCAGGGGGGAGATGTCTGAATGTGTGTTGCAGGAAGTAACATCAAAGCCCTTTAGCAGCAAATCTGCATGAGTTTTAGAGGGTCATAAGTAAAATGAAACACAGAGCCTGTTGGGTTCAAGTGGGACTGTTTGTATCCTCTATATAAATATAGACTTCTCTCTCAGTTTACCATCTTCTGTGGAAGTATCTGATAAACAGAAAAGCAGCAGGAGGAGCTTCCTGCTTGATCCCTATCTTATTGAGAAACTTTGTGCACTAAAGCTCAACAGAAACTCTGCGTCATTTCACTGTGTTTGTGAAAAGGATCGCATAAAGTTAAAACAGTCCAGCTGATGTTCTTTTTAGCAAAATAAGACCTAAGCACATTTTTCGACCTACGTGCATGCAACAGTAACGTGCAGAAACGGCTAAAGCGAAAGAACTTCATATTATTAATGTTCTATAATTTGCAAAGTCAGAACATGGTAAATGAATATTGCTGCAGTTTATTGTTTGACTTTTAAGTCAATACAAGACAAAACATAAAGACAAATTTTGGAAAGGGGGGGGGGGGGAAACAACTTACAAACATGTTAGCCGCTGATTAACTCAAACACAAGTATGTAAAAATGCAGCTGAAACCAGAGTGTTATACACACTGTTTAAAAAGACTTTTTTTTTCCTCACTGTGAGACTAAACATTTCCTGTCAGCCTTGATTACCCAAATAATTTTGCAGCTCTTAAACAGCAGAACAATGAGAGGGAGAAATCTTTTTAACTTATTGTTTTAATTCATGTCTTTTCTTGATATTTGGTTTCATTTCCATTAAATTACATGACTTGGGCCAAACATGTTGGGTATCCTTCCACAAGCTTCTCACAGCAATTTGCTGGACTTTTGGCCTCTTTCTCCAGACAGAGCTGGTGTAACTGAGCCAGGTTTGTTAAGCTGCCTCACTCGCTCACGCCTTTTCTGCTTTCTGTGGGAATGAGACCAGGGCTTTGCAATGGCCACTCCTAAATAATGACTCTGTTGTCCTTAATACACCTTCTAACTAACTTGGCTGTGTGCGAAGGGTTATTATCCCTTTGGAAGATCCATTGGTGGTTTAACTTCCTGGCTGATGTTCTTCTGAGATGTTGCTTCAATATTTCCACATAATGTTCTTCCCTCAAGCCATCTAATTTGTGAAGTAACCGTTCCTTCCTGCAGCAAAACATCCCCATGACAAGTAGAGGTGCACTGATTGCAGTTTTCTGGCCGATCGCCAATTACCAATCTTTAAAAAGCCAATACCTGTTTTTTTTTTGTTTGTTTTTTTGCCTGAAATGTTGTAAATATAGAAAGATAGTCGCTGCGTTGGTAACGGTAGTGTGACTAACATGCAGATATGATCTGGTGGGTTTATCTACCAGTCAAACTTCTCTCATATTAGAGCAGAAGAGGACGGTGGTCGAGTTTTGGACCCTCGCAGAAGTAGATAAGATCAGAGGATATGATCAGTTTCACATGTAGGTATCGGTCGATCACCGATCTCCCATAATTAAGGAAATTTGCACAGATAAATCAGTGCAACCCTAATACTGAGGCTTTCAAGCTCCACGTTTTTTCCTGTACCTAAACACTTAAACATTAGTTTAATTACATCACAGGACATATTTTCCAAAAAATAAACGTATCTATCTCAAAGTATGTTTTCTAACTACAAAGTTGGCTTTTTAAGTTGCTGTTGAAGTAATGGCCTTCTTTTTGCTGGGTAGACTTTCTGCCCATATCCAAATGACACTCTCCTACCAGCTTCAACCAGCCTCCTTACAAGGTCTTTTACTTTGGCTTCAGGGTTGTTATGCATATTTCTCACCAAAACACGCTCATCCCGGGGACACAGAGTCGGTGTTCTTCCTGAACGGTATGCCGGCTGGACATCCCTGCTATGTCTATACTCTTAATTATTTGAACAGATGAATGTGGTGCATTCAGCCATCTGGAAACTGTAAAGAATGAACCAGACTGGTGGAGATTCACAATTCCTCTTCTTGATATTTCACTGATTTCTATTTATTTTTCAATAATGTCAGAGGAGAAAGCCCTGTTGTCTTAAAATACATTCATAGGGTGGAATCCATTTAGCTCAAAGGTTGTGAATTACTCTATCCGTACTTCCTGAAGTCGTGACATTAATTAACCTAAAAAAAGGAACACTGTTTTTTTTTTTTTTATCTTGTTAAACATCAGATAGTTGGGAAAATCTGATTATTTGAGTTTTAAACAATGCATGTAAATATTTGGTTTCAAACTACATATGAAAATTTGATGTCACTTTTTTTCAATGTTGTTGAATTCAATGTAAAAATTTTTTTTAATAATAATAATAAAAGACTGGGTTACTTCTACAGCTAAAATCAAAACTTTAACAAAACCAAAGTTATCGTCATTTTATTTCGGTAGATTTATTTTCAGGTTCTGAAGACCAGACATGACAATGCTACCCCCTTTAAAAAAGAACATAAATCTGTTTGAGACCTCTACACAACAGTCATTATTACTGAATTTATGAAGACCCAGACTGGGAGGACAAAAAAAAAACCCTGTAGCCTGGTTTGAAGTGAGGATCAGACATGGCTTTAAGAAGGTGGCGCTCATGGTAATTTAGTTTTTCTGTTGCTTGCAGTTATGAGCTCATAACCCTGTCACACAGCCAAAGTCAAACATGAGGGACAGACAAACACCAATGAGGTGATGTCTAAAACCTAGATGCACATTTGCTGTTTTCAGCTTTGCTCTGCACTCTGCCATGGAAATATTAGATTGGGTCACTGGGTGGCATTTAAGATCCGCAGAGCGCGGAAACGAGACAGTCCTATCTCGGAGGAAAGATCAGCGGCTTCCTGAAGGCCTGATGAAGCTTACAGCTCCAGAGGCTTGGCCATGCATGATGTGCCGCACTCCCGAGGCTCCGACTAAACTTTTTGAAGCAAAGGGTAAAGACTGAACAGTGGCAGACAGATGGCGAGGTGGACATCTGAAAGATCGCCCAACGTGTCTAAACCCGACCTAAATGTCACTCAGTTTGTCAACTTCACAGCTCATGGGGCGGTTCCACTGAGGACACTGGAAGACGGGCATTCTTTCTCAAGCTTATGCTTGCAAGTCTTGGATTAAGTGCAGCGTCGTCTCAAACTCAATCTTTACTCCATTAAAGACTTGTTGTAATTTTCATCTTCTAGTCAGATTGAGCAAACAATTCGATTGTGGTGTTGGGTGTTTGTTTTAATTTTTTTTTTTTTTTTTTACCTCTGCTAAGACAGCATGTTTTGAAAAGTCATAATTTCAGTACATTTGGCTCATGATGTGCATAAGCAGCTATTTTATTTTGTTGCTCTCACCAAAAAAAACAAAAAAACATCTTTTGTAGCAATTTAAAAAAAAATCAAACTAATTCAGGGCTACGAGATGAAACGTTTGATGTTCCTGTGTGAAAAATTTATCGTGGTCTCAGTAGAGATTGCAGCATTTTCTTGATGGCCTATTTGGCACCAAACTCTCAGTGCCTCAAGATGACCAAGATCCTTTTCTACAAGCCACATCACCACATTTCTGCCAACATCCACTTTGAGTTTTGATGATAAAACTGAGCTTGTTAGGATATTTAGCATGCCATCACATATGAGACAAAGACTTGGAAGAAATGTTGGAAACAATAACAACTGCAGGGTTGATTTTGCTGGGAATTTTTTCAGTGTGTGGCTTTGTCTTGACCTTGTTGCAAAAGCATTTTTGCTGCGCTACAGTAAGGTTGCTCCTAATGGTGTGTGAGGTTAAAAAAAACAACAAGATAATATTGTTCTTGGAGAATCACTAGCCGTGCTCAGAATATATCTCCCTCCCCTTCCTTTATTTTTTTTATTTCTGGCAATATTATCACCAGTTATTAGCCTGGTCTGTTATTTCAACATTTCTTTTGTTTATGTTTTCTTTTAATGATAGAGAATCTTGAAAATGTGCATGTAACAGTGAATTTAGTGTACTCAGTGTCTGCATTTCTTTTTAAGGAATGAAGTGTAATGCCGTATGCAATGTGTCTGAAATAATAAAATTGGTCTATTTTTTTTATTTTTATTTTTTTTTTACTAATGAATATGTTCTGCTCTGGTCCTGATTTGCAGTGTTTATTAAATAAGATGACAAATGAAGTGAGGTAACTGAAAAAAAAAAAACAAGCTGCAACTAAATTTGAATGAAACTAAAACACTTATATTTAGAAATAAAAGATAAATAAGCAAATAGAGGGCCGACTTAGCTGGAAATCACAACACTACATACATTCACTCTAAGGTAAGGAGAAGCATTGCAGTGAAAAAGAATGACAACCAAACAGATCAATAAATACATAAATTGTTTGTACATCACTCCATGTTCTCTGCTGCTAACTGGTTTCACCTGATTTCAGCTGCTGTGCAGAAGTCTGGATGAGAAAGTGGATGGTAACTAGCACCGGCAATTTCTTCATCAAAAGAACATAAAACAAACATAAAATGTTTCAAACAAACCACTTTAAATCGATGTGCTCACTAAAAGAAAAGCAGCTGTTTGTGTGTGGAGTCGTGAACATAGGCATGTTGGCTAGACATAAATCAATGCTCAAGGCCTGAATTTAAATACGGTTCAGATAAAAACCTCAACATATGTATGAGGTTGAATACATATGCATGCCACACTTTAGAGTCCTCAGATTTTTAAGTCTTTTGCAGGTTTTTAGAACGTTTTCTTCCAGGATTTCCCCGTATTTAACTCATCTGCATCATCCCTTCAACTCCCATGTTAAAGAAAAGCTCACAGCACAATGCTGCCACCACTGTGTTTCATCATATCTACATCTGCATAGTCCAGACACAATATAAGCCACATCGCACTTGTAGATGGAAAAAAAAGAAAGATGAAACGACCTGATATTATAAAAAAATTATCTAATGTTGACTTAAAACCTGTTTTAATACAAGGTGATCTCTTGGCAATACCTCAATATTAGCTATCTTAGGACGTCAATTAACATTTTTAAATATACTCTCTAACATAAGGCTAATGTGCATAAGTCTAAATATGCATTTTATTGATATTGTCCTGTCAAATAGTTGAACTTTCTTACAATTTTCCATAATGAATCCTTAAGCACTTTATTGGTCAGTGGTTAACACTTCATTGTTGTCATTTCTCTGTCAAGTTTACTGGAAATGGAAAAAAGTACACACTCACCATTTATGAAAATAGTTCAGCTCTATGATGCTCTAAAAATACAAGGAAAATTAACTTTTTTTAAGATTCTCTAAGTGTTCCTGTTGCTTAGATTTATTATTTAAAAATTAAATTAAAATAATATTCTTCAATGAAAATAATGACCTATGATTTAGAAGGGGCTGGATTAAATAAGCAGAGCTCCTCTTTACACTCTTTTGCTTGACTGTAAATCAATGAGATTTGAGTTACATTTATGCTGTTTTACTTTATCTGACTTTATTTTGGCAATATGTTTCCCTTATCCTTTAGTTAAAAACCCATGTCATGTCTACATGTTCCAAATAAAAGGTAATGAATTAATCAAAACTGAAACTGAATTGAAGGATGGGGGTGGGAATGATGCGGATGATTTTGCTGCAATCTGCAATTTTGCCTCTAGATGGCACTGTAATAAATACTGTTAACTTAAATTGTACCTTTAGGTATATTTTACATCTCCTTTGTTTTAAATTTTTACTATTTTACAATTAAAGATTTCAGCCAGAGTTTGCAAAAAAACATAAAAAATAAATAAATAATAATAAAAAAAATGCTGTTATCCAAAACACAATAACTTATATCTGCGAACTTGCAGGATTAAAGAAAGAGTGATCATTTAAGTCAGGGCACAAGTGAAAAGGACCCGTTGAGGAGTTCACCGGGCCATGCAGGCAGCACCGCTGCGGGCAGCTTCTGCAGCTGTGTCCGCAGGCGTCATCAGCCTGAAACCCTATCCTGCTCGCCCTGCCCACATCCGTGGGTAACACAGCCTTTTTTTGACTCACCACTTTCAGCCAGACAAAAAGAAAAACACGCTCCGAAAGTCTCCGAAATCCAGAATATTCTCTCTACTTGAAAAATCACTACAGCCTGCATAGTTGAACATATCTAAAACAAAGAGAAGTGGTTTTAGGTGTGTTCCTAAGCAAATGGACATTCAGGAGGAAGGGGGGGGGGGGGGGGTAGTTTTGTGACACATAGGCACTTTTATCCCGACACTGACTTTGTAGAATAATAAACCCTACGATGCAGATGTTTAATGTATAAGTCACCCATGACGCCGCACTGAGTAGTTTTCTTCTCTAAAGCACCGTTAGGCCACAACAGGACGATTGATGCGCTCCACGTTTCTAAGCTCGGTTGCATGGCAATGCGCAGCGAGCAGAAAGTAACAATGCCATAAATAATATCAGGGGACTCACTTGTCCAGAACAAAGTAGAGGTCAAACGCGCCCTGACAGGACATGGTCTCCTCCTCCTCCTGTTGCTCTCCCGGCGGCTCCCCTTCCACCGGGACGCAGAGGAGGAAAAATCCAAGCGAAGCAAAGGCGAGGAGCAACAAGCGAGCCTGTGTCCACGCCATCTTTCCAGGTTAGCACTTTACTTCTCCAACACTGCAACCACTCAGGATCTTCACATTTCTCTTTACTCGTCTGTTTCCAAACAGACTGTTGGGATTATTATTATTATTATTATTATTGTATGTGTGTGCCTTCAAGGAGGAGTCTCAGCCCAGGAGGAGTGTTGCTCTGCTCAAGCCGGGCTCTTCAAGACTTCTCTTTCGGCTGACGGGGAAAAAAAAAAAAAAAAAAAAAAAAACCTGAAAGGGGGGAAGGATGAA